TCCCACGTCCCCTGGTGCTGCTGTGAGTTAAAAAGGGAGAAAAGGAAGCTGTCTGGCCAGAAATACAAGTGAAGGTTCTGGGAGGAGGGCAGCCACACCCACTGGTTCCAGCTTGTCCTGGTGCACCTGTCGCATGTGTGCTATGTCTTGCCCTTCTCACTTTCCCTCTAACTAAGCCCAGAAGGGCACAGCGTTCCACAGGCTCAGGGGTACACTACAAGCACAGGGCTGGGTGTTAAGCCTATCCAACCTCACTCCTGGAATTTGCTTGGGTAAAATGCCGTTTCCACTTTCCCACAAGTTCTCAGGCCCAGCTTCACATTTGTCCACCCCCAGGCAGAGCAACTCTATTGTGTGAATGAGGGAGCTTCAGCACAGATGGAGTGGGGACACAGGCCCTTGGAATCTGAACCACAGGGGAAACTTGCCTGCTCCTACCTCCCTGCATCTTCTAGAAACACGTGGAGCATCAGCCAGAGTCAGACTCCACCCACCATAGAGCCTGCTGCCCTATAAATGCCTCCCTTGGCCAGCCCCACCCAGGATATGTCAACAGACAAGGGAAGAAAGTGTCTTGCCGGCATTCTGAGAAAGCCAGGGCTGGGAGCCAAAACACACCGATGAGGGGCATGCACTGTCTCCTGAAGAATCTGTCACAAAAGAAAATTCTATAGCCCTCAAACTGGGAGAGGCCCTGGAGATAACTTTGTCATCACAGGGTGGCATTCTCTAGTTGCCCCTGGTAGATGAGGTCCTAGAGGAACCCGTCCCTAACACTGAACTTCAGGAAGTCCTTCCTGTATCTAACTCAGCCTTCAGTGAAAGGGCAGAGCAGTTACAAGGCAAGGATGACTGAGAACTCCAAGACCTGAGGCCAAGACTCAGCACTGTGTCCAAGGTGTGGAGCCTGTAGAGGACAAACCCGACTGAAGGTTGTCCTCCCCCTCACCTCAGCCTGACCGCAAACTTGTTTATGTCATCTGGATGACATCATGCTAACCTGACCAGTTAGAGCAGCTGTGAGGGGAAACAGACCCCAAAGGTCCCTCTGCTGAGTCCTGTGAGGGGAAGGGGTTCTCTTCGTGTGGATGCTGTTGGTGAGTAGAGAGCCAGTGGAGCATGACGCTTATGGTGCAGGCTCTGAAATAGCCAAGCTGCCTGAGTTTAAATCCTGCCTCAACCGTGTACTGGCTGTGTGACCGTAGACATGATACTGTGCCTCTCTCTTCCTCAGTTAACTTCTCTATAAAATGGGCATGATGGCAGTGCCTAGCCAATTAGATTGTGGTGAGGCTTCCACAAGGGAATACATGGACAGCCCTTGGGCTGTGCCTGGAACTTTCTGTGCATTGCTATTGTGAAGGTGACCAGTTTGCCTGGGACATCCTGGCTATGCTTGTGGTCCCAGCATTGCTATGAATATTCCCCCTTTCACTCCTGGCAGTGCCCGAGGTTGGATGATGTATTATAAGAGTGACTCCCTTTGGCTTCTTCATGTCCACCCGGTTATCTCCCTGCTTCATGCTGCCTCTGAGTACTGGGGAGCCAGGTTCCCAAAATATAGGTCCCCAAGTAGGCTCTGCCCATGCCACTGACGTGTCTGCTGCACAAACTCAGCTTTTCCTCTTTTCCTTTTTCTCTGCACTTTGTCTCTCCTCCTTCCTCGATCCTTACAGCCATCCTCTCCTTTCCTGCTTCCCTGTCCGTGCCTTAGGATTCTGGTGGTGCACACAGGTACCGTCTGGCTTTATTGGGACCTCCCCCTGACCCTGTACTTGGATGGAACCCTTTACAGCTCTAACTAAACTGTACCTTATCAAATTTCTCTCAGAGGAAGGGAAGCAATTTGAAAAGGCAAAGAAATGACCAACAGATGGATGAGTGGAACAATGCGCTGGTTTTTGTTGTTGTTGCTGTTTCTTTGCGTGTGTGTGTTGTGTTGGTAGGAACGAAAAGTGTACCAGTTTGAAATGGTCCATCGACCTGTCTATAAAACTGTCCCCTGGGCTTTAAAAAAATTTATTATTATTATTATTATTATTATTATTATTTTGAGATGGAGTCTTGCTGTTGTCACTCAGGCTGGAGTGCAATGGCACGATCTCAGCTCACTGCAACTTCTGCCTCCCAGGTTCAACCAATTCTCCTGCCTTGGCCTTCTGAATAGCTGGGCTTACAGGTGCCTGCCACCATGCCCAGCTGATTTTTGTATTTTTAGTAGAAATGAGGTTTCACCATGTTGGCCAGGCTGGTCTTGAACTTCTGACCTCTGGTGACCCACCCAGCCTCCACGCCCGGCCCCCAGGGCTATTTTATAGGAAACCCTGGACGCTCCTCTGCAAGACAGCAGCCTCCGTGTGTGTCAGTGGAGAAAGCAAAACCTCTGGAGCCCAAGGGCCTGGGCCCATTTCTGCCACTCACTAACAGCTGACAAAGGACCATGATTTCGCAAAGACTCAGTTTCTCCATCTGTAAAATAGAGCAGACTTGTCTCTAGAACACCATGATTCTATGACATTGTAAAAGGCCCTGGACCTGCTCTTAGGATCCTGAATTCTGCAATATTCTGCAATATTGGCAATTGCATCTTTTAGGTCTTCTCTAGGGGAACACAGGAGGGAACCAGGGCCTTGGAAAATATAAAATCTGAACTAATTCTCACCTAAAGTATCACGGCAAGTGCCTGAGTCCTCTGTGCATTGCAACAGAATAGACATTATTTTGTGTGAAAGAAAAGCAAGAGTGATGTGAACTCAGTGGGTGATTAGCCAGTCCCTGAGGAATCCCTCACTAGCTCTCCTCCAGCCTAACTTCTCTCAGCTGCCTTGCCAGTACCCAGGCAGCTTGCAGGTTCAACCCTCCTTCCCTACAACAGGTTCAGCAAATTATTGCGGCAAGGAGCCCCAAGGCAGAATGGATGGCTACTGTGGCCACTGTCACAGTGCTGGGGCCTGCCTTCTGCAGGCTCACCACAGGCTGACACATCTCCAGTCACTCCCCACACCTGGGATTCCATCTCCATCAGTGGCATTACCAACCACTCCAACTCTGGAATCCAAATCGCCATCATCTTGGTCTCTGCTGCTCTAGTCCCTGACATTTATTCAGCTACCAGATTGCATCTACTCCATTGTTCTCTGGGTTAAAATCCCCATCCCACCACTTATTTGCTATATGACCTTGGATAAACCACTTAACCTCTCTCTCAGTTTCCTCCTCTACGATATGGAACGATCATAGCAATCTCCTCATGAGGTTGTCAGGAGGATTAAATCAGATTAAACATGAAAATCTCCTACCACAGGCCCTGGCACATAGCAGATGACTTTTCCCCCACCCCCAAGACTTTTAGCCCCTTCCTGTCCATTCCCACCAGCCCTGTTCAACCCCTCATGGTCACTGCAATGGGCTTCTTCCCAGGTTCTGTTCCCAAAGCTTCCTCCACTGCAGTGCATCCCATACCCAGCTGCAGATGACATGTTCTTCTGAACCCAGCTCCAGAAGCACTACTTCCCTTCTTAGAAACCATCAAAACATCCCTAGGCTTAATAACGAGGCGAACACTCCAAGCCTCTGCCATCTCTCCCAGGCAGCACTCCTTACCGGATCGTCCACCACATTCTTCCTCGCTCCTCAGGTACATCCCACCTTCACGGCTTTGCTCAGCCGTCCTTCCCCAAGATGACCAGACCCAGACTCCTGTTCAAGGCCTGGCCTCAGTGCCACCTCCAGGACGCCCTCTGCTAGTCACTCCTTCCAGAAGTAACCTCCTTCCTCCAAACTCCCTCTACATACTTTATAGTATAGAACCGAGAGGTGACAGGACCTCGGAAGCCATACATGAAGCCCCTCACTTATTACTCAAAAACTATGCATAAAGTTGCTCTTATAGACAAATACTATCCCATAAGGTTGTGCATGTTAATTTCACCTGAAAAGGGGCATGAACCCTGGACCCTCCAACAAAAATGCTGATTCCACGTGGAGCAAGCTGCCCTGATTTCATATCCCTATGCCCACATCCTTGATAAAAAGACTCTTCGGTACATGCTGTTTTCTTCCAGAGACAAGGAACTCACCAACTCACGAGTTAGGTTCTTCCTCCTGACCTCTGACCACCCTGGGGACTCCCACGGATTGACCCTTTCTGTCCTCTAGAGTCACACGGAAGGAATTCCTCTGAGACTCCTGGTGTCCTCCACAGAGGCAAACAGGGCAAGTTCCCAAACACACCTTGTAAACAGATAAATGAACTCAGAGGGCTTTCCCAAGTGGCAGGGCACATTTGCTGTATCCAGTGCATGCATGGGTGCACATACACACACACACACACACACCACGAGCACGCACGGGCGCGTGTACACACACACACACACACACACACGGGCAGAGTCAGCACAGGGCCGCTGAGCCACACAGCCAGACCAGCACACGCTGGGGCCAGGGCGGAAGCCAAGCCTCAGCAGCCGCCCACTTCCTGACCTCCTGCCTTTACTCTGGGAGGTTCTCTCTCTCTGTGTCTTTCTGTCTGTCTCGGTTCTTTGTTTCTACACATGGCAAGAGTTGTGGGTGCTGCCTGCGTGGCCAGGGCTCCTAGTAGCATTGACCTGCAAGGCAGGAGTTTTGGTTCTTAGGCCTGAGACCCTGGTCAAGTCACTTTACTCTTCTGAGCCTCAGTTTCCTCATCTGTGAAATGAAGAGACTGGATGAGGCTGGAGGGTTCCTAAGGTCCCTTCCTGACCAAAGCCCTAGGGCTTCTCGGCTCCCCTCCAGTCCCGTTACCGAGTGACAGGGAGGGGAGCAAGGGCCAGGCCAGGCCTGGGGATGGCAGGGGAGCCAGCTGTTCCCACCCAAGGGCACACAGCCTCCAGCCAGGCCCTCTGCGAACTCCATGTGCTGCACACACGCGCTCACACTTCGCAGCCGGAGAAGCAGGCAGGAAGCGCCGCGCCCCGGGTGCCCACCCTCAACCCTCAACCCTCAACCTTCCTCCACATTACCTTGAGCGTGTACGCTTCCCGTGGACCTGCCCGCGCGCCCGCTCGGCTCACGGCTGTCAAGCAGCCACCTGCCCCGCCGCCCGCTCCGCCCGACTCTTTCCGCCCCGGTCCGCGCGCTGGACCAGCCCCCCAGCGGAGCTCAAGGGGAAGCGGCGCCCCCTGGGCGCCCTCCTGGACGTGCGCGCGCCGAGCGGCGGGGTCCGGGCCGGCAGGCGCGACCTGAGACTGCCAGGGAGCCTGGGTGGCGAGGGCGGGGCCCCTGCCGATTTAGCCTGCCTGACTGGTCGGGCTTCCCCGGCCCCTCTGCCCCCTAGGCCCCCTAGGCTCCTTGCCCCGATTCAGGTTCCCAAGGAGGGGCATCAGTCCGGCCCTTGCTGACTCACTGGAGAGGTGGTGTCTAGGAGTGCACCCCGAAAACCCGCCAACGGCCTGGCGTCACTCCAGCTGTTATCTCTGGGAACAGAAACTAAAAGGGGATCTTATTCTTTATACTTTTCTGACCCTTCTGTCTATTCTACTGTGGGCATGAATCGTTAAAAAACAAAACAAAACACCAAAAACCCAAAGCCCAATACGTATTTGTTAATAAAGCACTAAGTAAATCTTCAAAGGCCTCCCAAGGTGTTCAGGCCGCGGGATAACCCCTCAGCCTAGTGCACAAGGCAAGGCCCACCCTGCCCACTGTGGCCACAACCTGATTTCCCAGCCTCACCCTCTCTCCCTCACACACACACACAACACTTGCTCTGGACACACTGGCTGTTGCCAAACACCAGCTGTTCTTCACGGCTGCGGGGAGTTCTTGCTTTGTGCCTGGAGCACCCTCCCCTTTCATCTCTGCCTGTTGAAATCCTACTCATCCATCCAGGCCCCTCTGAAATGTCACCTGTTTTGGAGAACCCTTCCCCAGACACTGCCCCTGCAGAGTGCCCCAGTTCTTTCTGGTAAGCCCATCGTTCTAGGGCTGGTTTATGTAGCATCCCCCTCTCACACACACTAAGCCCTATTCCAAGGTGGAGAGAAACAAATGAGCACTTACTGAGCAGCTGTTATAAATTGCTCTGTGGAGTCCTTTCTTCTCCTTGTAGCCCAGCCAGCCACTAGCCCACAACCTCCCTCCATGCCACCAGAGTTTCAGAAGGCTGTCAGGGGCTCTGAGGCCTGCCCTCTGGTGTGTCCCCACTGTGTGCCTTGGCTTTTCCAGCTCTGTCCTGGGTAGGCTTCCCTGTATCAGCCTCCAAGTTCTGCAAGCCGGTGGCTTGCCCTTCTCTCAGCCCTATGTGAGGAAAGAAGGACCTTTCATTACCAGAATCCGAGAAGTGGAAGGGACCTCAGAGATTATCCAATGCAAAGCCTGCCCACCCATTTTACAGAGGCGAAAACTGTGACCAGAGAAATAAAGTCAGAAGCATCAGAGGGACCTACCATTGTTATTGTTTTTTTTTAAATACTGTTAATACTTGCATGTTTAGATCGCCTTTCACTTCCAAAGCAATGTGTTGTCACTCATTTGCCCCTCACAGTCTCAGAGGTATTATAGTGGTTAGTGCACAGACTCTGGAGGCCAGAGCCCTGGGTTCAAATCTCAGTGTTCCAACTTGCCAGCTACATCCTTGGCAAGTTACTGGAACTTTCTCCACATTTCTCAGTACAATGTAGATAGTAACAGCTCCTGCATCATGGGGTGTTCTATGAATCTAAATAAATGTGTATCTTTAAAGGGCTTAGAATAGTAGCAGGTGCATTAAAAATGTCAAATGTATTTGCTCTTATCAAATTTTTGTTATTGTTAATTGTATCACTTCGCAGTTGGAATAACAGAGGCTCAGAAAGGCTGAGACTCATCCAAAAAATTGCTGCTTTGGGGATAGTTTCTCACCAAACTCCATGCAGTCATCTTTGTCTCTGACACCGTTCTGCTTCCTGCACCCTTATGTCTGAGTCTAACCACCTATTTAATAGGGAAGAAAAGCAACTGTCCTTTAGCCCACCTCAGAACACGCAGACATTTCATGGTACAAACACTAACCACATCTTCTGGCTTCTATGGGGATGTCTCTGATTTGCTGGCATTTTCTTTAACAGAACACCACACCTCACGGTGTCCTTCAGAATCACAGAGCCATCACATTGCTGCAAGTTGAGCGTGTACATTTGTGCCTCTTTTACTCTTGGTGCACGGCAGAAAAGCGACGGGGAAAAGACAGTTCTTCCCATGTATGGATGTAGGAAACTGAGGCACAGTTGATATTCACTGATTGGCCCCAGGCTATGGAGCTAGCCTGGACCGTGGGAAGGATGAGGATCTCCACTTCCTCTTTCCCCATGGCTACACTGCTTTCCTGATTCAGTGTTGCAGGAGAAACCCAAACTCCTTTATTCAATGAGGATTTATTGAGCACTCTCTAGGTGATGAATAAGACCTAGGCAAGGCCGGCTTCCTGGGCATATGACCTATGAACTCACATAGGCCAGAAGTCCCCAACCTTTTTGGAACCAGGAACCTGTTTCATGGAAGACAATTTTTCCATGGACCAGGGATGGGAGTGGGGGGTGGGAATGGTTTCAGGATGAAACTGTTCCACCTCAGATCATCAGGCATTAGTTAGATTCTCATAAGGAGTGTGGAAACGAGATCCCTCACACGCACAGTTCACAATAGGGTTCACGGACCGGTACCCCATTACCGGTTCGTGGCCTAGGGGTTGGCGACCCTTGACATAGGCCACTCACTTAGAAGAGCTTCATACATAGTTTAGTGCTCTCCTGTCACCTGCTTGAAATTCTTAATTTTTGAACAAGGGGCCATATAAATTGTATTTTACACTGGACCCTTCAAGTTGTACAGCTGGTCTGGACCGAGGCTCTTCCCTAGGAGCTCTCAGTGTCACAGGAAATCAGCCAGGGAATTGACAATTGCAGTTCAGTACGATGTTGGCTGTGACAGAGACAGGGTGGCCATGAAAGAAGGACAGGACATTGGCCAGTGTTGAGCTCACTTGGGTCATGCTCCCCAGCTGTGCAGCCTGCCCAGCCACCAGTGACTTACCACTGTGCTCCTTGCTGGGAGAATGGCCTTGGTTTAGCACCAGGGCCTGCAGCCCCAGACAGCAGCTGCAAACCCTGCCACCCTAGGAGGCCACCGCTAAGTCATGTCAACACCAGGCAATGTGTGCCACTGGGGCCCTAAGCTGTTATGTCCTCCAACCCATACTGCCCGATCACCAGACTGCCAGTGGACGCTAGTTTCCTCTGCCTGCCCAGACCCAGTCAACTGCCAGCAAAGGGCACATAAAGTCATCCACAGTGAAAAGCAATTGGCAGACAAAACCTAATGGGCTATTCATCCAAAGGACACTTGGGTTTTATTAGAGGTATTCTGGTGTCCTCCTGGCCTGCATTCTGACATGTAAGAAGCATCTAAGTCATGATAGTTGAGTGAACATACAAAAGGTAAATACATACGGCAAAGCCTGGATTGGAATTGGCAGTTTGAAGGTCATTGGCCCAAGAACAGGGTATTTTTTGGTTGTGTTCTGTTTTCTTTTTCTTTTTTTTTTGGATGAGTTGCTGGAAGCCCCAACACAATGGTTTGGGAATAAATGGAAGTGAGGAATGGAGAAGTAAGGAGGTACCACTCTCAAGGAGGCTGGCAGTAGAGGGGACAAATAGTGTGAGAGAGGAACAGAAGAACCAAGCAGGAGACTGGAAGAGGTTTGTAGACGAGGTTGAGAATCTGATGAAGAGAGAAAGAACGAAGAGTGAGGAAGGGTCAATGGCCCTGGTATAAGAAGAGGGAGGAAGGACTGGCGAGCACAAGGGCTTAGGAGGAGCCCGTAAGTCTCAGAAGCAGGGGGAAGAGGTAAAGATGAGTGACGATGGCAGCAAGGCGGTGGGAGGAAAATAGACGCAGAGCTCCCAGATCATGGTCCCTGTTTCCTCTATGAACCAAGAAAATAGGTAATGGCTGGAGGGTCTGGGCTGACTGGTGGGGTAACATTTAGATGTTAGTTGCTGCCTCCTCTGGGGTGGGGCAGGGAAGAGCCAGTGTCAGGGGTGGGTGGAGTAGAAAATTGACTTGAAGGGCACAGGGACACTTCCAAGGAAGCGAGGTACCCTCTTCCAGAGTCACCCCGATGCTCTGTCGCATCCTTTCTCCTAGCATCTGTAACTTCTTTGTTTTTTCTTATTCACTTGCTGCTTTCAACTCTAACTTAAGCCCAGTTCCTATTATTGGCCCCCTTAGAGGAACAGTGAAAACATTCATTGTTCCAATACAGGAATCCCTCTGCTCTTCCTTCTTCCTTATTATGAATGGCAACAGTTACAGAGCTTCCAACAGGTGGCGGCCAAAAACCAAACAGACTTTTCAATGTTGACTCTCCCGGGCTGCCTACAGAATGGCAGCTCTGCCCCACCGCCCGGAGCCTCGCCAACAAAGGCCAAATCCAACAGCGGCCCGGAACAGAGGCTAGCGAGCGCTGCGGAGCCAGCAAACACCAGAGGGAAATCACCCTGGATCCATACCTCCCATCCTTTGCCTCTGTGAGCATGTTTGGGGAGGAGACATCTATGAGATTGCAGGAGCCAATTCAGGCTACATGCTTATAGCTGCAATGGAAAAATTAGGCTAGAATTCAGGGCCTCCCTGAGGATATTTCTGAAAATCATGTACTTCCTTTAAGGGATTTACACATCTGGAGTCCTTCCAAAACAGGACAAGTAAGACATGAGCAGGAAGTTTCCACTCTCCATCCAGCGGCCAAGAACAGACTTCGTCATTCAGATGGGGTCACAGAGGCACAGACCTGAGAGAGCTGGAAGTCACAGAGCCAAACCCGTGTATTACTGACGAGGTAACTATGGCTCAGGGTGACTTGACCTATAAGCCACAAGCTTGTGGGTGACCACTCCAGGCCCTGAATGGAGGATTTCATTCCATCCCCCTGCCCCACAAGTGGCCTCTGAGGGACAGCGTACCTGATGCCACCTTATGTGGGATATTGTTTTTGCTGTCACAAATTTCTGAATCCCCTGTTTGTGGAATAGAGAAATCAAAGCCACCAGATATTCAAGGGTATCCACTAAAGAAGTCACATTGTTACTTCAGCTAAAAATAACTTAAAGGCCTAACAGTAAATTATCATTTATCTAATCATCTGGGAATGATGAAATTAATGTTTCGTATCTACTATTTTACAGTTAGAAATTGCTTAGAAAGTATAGATATTTTTCCCGCATAATTCTGCTTTCCCATGAATGCACATGCATACACACAAGACCCAACCACAGTATCTTGACCATGAATATAATAAATAAGGAAATAACAAATGTAGTCAGGTGAAGCAGGGGGTTCTGTTAGCACAAGAATGTTCTAGGCCTAGTGTTTGGTGGAGCCAACCAGCTCCTACAAGCCAGTGAAAACTAAGGAAAGTGCCTGGCAGTTTCATTATGGAGTTGCTTTCCAATAACCTAATTCCTCTTACCATCAAAAGGTGGTCAGGGAACATCACCATTTTTAGAAAGATGCTTTGTTTTGATAAAACAACCCTTCTGTATTAGTCTGTTCTCATGCTGCTGATAAAGACTTACCTGAGACTGGGTAATTTATAAAGGAAAAGAGGTTTAGTGGACTCACAGTTCCACGTGGCCGGGGAGGCCTCACGATCATGGCGGAAGGCAAAAGGCACGTCTTATATGGTGGCAGATAAGAGAGAGCTTGGGCAGGGAAACTCCCCTTTATCAAACCATCAAATCTTGTGAGATGTATTCACTATCATGAGAACAGCACAGGAAAGACCTGCCCCCATGATTCAATTACCTTCCACCAGGTGCCTCCCATGACACATGGGAATTATGGGAGCTACAATTCAAGATGAGATTTGAGTGGGGTCACAGTCAAACCATATCACCCTCTAAGCTTATGTCTCACTACTCACCCACAAATAGGCTGTAAAGAGCCCAGCATTTGCTTTCTAGCAACTGCTGTTGTCATACTACCATTGCTTTCCCTGCCTGCAGGGCCCTCCATGCATCTCTGTTTAAAGTCTAAAGCCGGATCCAGCTGTCATGCTGCCTTCTGCAGAAAGACACCTCTGGTGTTTCTCAGCCAGAGGAGCCTCCCCACCTCTCAACTCCTGGCCACTTCTCTTAAAAACATGACCAATGATGCCAAAAGTCTAATTTATGTGGAGAGTTGGTGTTGTAGAGTAGAAGGGGATTGAGAAGTAGAGACTAAATAACTACTTAGCTTGGAACATGTCAGGAAGTTTCTCTGTTCTTCAGCTTCCTAATCTGTAAAATGTAGTTAGGGACAGGACCTACCTGATGAGGTTGTTGTGAGAAGTAAATGAAATAATTCAGCTGGGCCCAGTGGCTCACGCCTCTAATCCCAGCACTTTGGGAGGCCGAGACGGGCGGATCACGAGGTCAGGAGATCGAGACCATCCTGGCTAACACTGTGAAACCCCGTGTCTACTAAAAATACAAAAAATTAGCCGGGCGTGGTGGCGGGCGCCTGTAGTCCCAGCTACATGGGAGGCTGAGGAGGGAGAATGGTGGGAACCCGGGGGACAGAGCTTGCAGTGAGTGGAGATTGCGCCACTGCACTCCAGCCTGGGCGACAGAGCGAGACTCCATCTCAAAAAAGAAAAAAAAAAGAAATAATTCATGTAAAAAGCAACTAGTACAGTGCCTGGTACATAGTCAAGGCTTACAATGTCAGGAAAGAAAAAAGGAAGGGAGGGAGGGAGGAAGGGAGGAGAGGAAGAGGGAAAAGCAAAGCAAAGAGAATGAGACCAGCCAGGGCAACACAGTGACACCCCATCTCTACAAAAAGTTATAAATTAAAAAAAATACATTAGCCAGGCATGGTGGCTGATATGGTTTGGATTTGTGTCCCTGCCCACAGCTCATGTCCAACTGTAATCCCCAATGCTGCAGGAGGGCCTGGTGGAAGGTGACTGGATCATGGGGGAGGATTTTCCCCCTTGCTGTTCTCGTGATAGTGAGTTCTCACAAGATCTGGTTGTTTAAAAGTTGATATGGTTTGGTTGTATCCCCACTCAAATCTCAACTTGAACTGTATCTCCCAGAATTCCCACATGTTGTGGGAGGCACCCAGGGGGGATAGTTGAATCACGGGGGCCAGTGTTTCCCGTGCTATTATCGTGAGAGTAAGTCTCACAAGATCTGAGCGGTTTATCAGGGGTTTCTGCTTCTGCTTCTCTCTCATTTTCCCCTGCCACACCATGTAAGAAGTGCCTTTCACCTCCTCCCATGATTCTGAGGCCTCCCTAGCCATGTGGAACTGTAACTCCAATTAAACCTCTTTCTTTTCCCAGTCTCGGGTATGTCTTATCAGCAGCATGAAAATGGACGAATAAAACAGTGTATAGCACTTCCCTTTTTGCTCTTCCTCATGCTCCAGCCATGTAGGATGTGCCTATTCCACCTTCACCTTCTGCCATGACTGTAAATTTCCTGAGGTCTCCCCAGCCATGCTTCCTGGAACCATGAGC